TACCTACAACTATAGCATAAGCCAAAATGACAACCTTTGGACGCACCACTTCTCTCCTCTTCTTCTTCTTCTTCTTTTTCCTCCAGTTGGTGTTCTCTGAATTGTCTCCAAACCAGACAACCCAACGTTTCCGCAAATAAAACAAAACTGTCGCAAAAGTCTGGTCTTTGGAAGTAAATGGAGTCTCATTCAACTCACCCCCTCCAACACGCCGGCGACCCTCTGCTCTCTCTCTCTAAAACCATTTTCACACTTTCTCTCTCCTCTCTTTCTCAGTTGGGAGTTCCTCTCTGTTCTTTTACCCACCTACATGAAACAAATGGAATATACATATACCTCTCCTACACATATATCTGTATAACTATCATACAAAATAAAAAATCACTTTGTTTGGATTCTCTCTCTCTACAACCCAAAGCCCAAAATGACAAGGTTTGGACACACCACTTCTCTCCTCCTCTTCTTCTTCTTCTTTTTCCTCCAGTTGGTGTTCTCTCAATTATCTCTAAACCAGACAACCACCATGAACCAGCTCTATGGTCTTCTCTCCAACAGCACAGCCCAGTTTGCTCCTCCTTCCCCATGGAATGTCACCAAAGACCCAAATCCATGTTCATGGAAGGGTGTTAAATGCACTCCCAACAATTCTTCCATCACCAATCTCTCTCTCCCTTTTTTCTCTATCTCTTCCCCCGATTTTCTTGTTTTTCTTTGCCAGATTGATACCTTGGAGGCTGTTGATCTCTCCAACAATCACTTGAGCTCAATCCCAGATGGGTTCATGACTGGTTGCGGAAAGATTACTGGGTTGAAACTGTTGAATATCAGTAGGAACAAATTGTCTGGCCGTTTACCCACTTTTAATGGTTTTGCTAAGTTGGAGTCCTTGGACTTGTCTCACAATTCATTGGGTGGAAGCATTGATTCTCAGCTTGATGGGTTGGTTGGTCTCAAAAGTCTGAACCTTGGCTTCAACCAGTTCGATGGCTCTGTTCCTATCAACTTTGGAAAATCCATGGTTTTGGAGGAGCTTTGGCTTTCTGCCAATCGCTTTGAAGGTAAATTCCCTGAATCAATTGCGAATTATTCGAAATTGACTTCAATTGATCTTAGTGTAAATAACATTTATGGGTCAATCCCTGATAGATTTGGAGAGCTTCTCAATCTGCAACTTTTGATTCTATCTTCTAATAATTTGAGTGGTGAAATCCCAAAATTCCTTTCAACTATCCAAAACCTATCGCGATTCGCGGCCAACCAGAATTCTTTTTCTGGTGTTATTCCAGTTGGGATTACAAAATATCTCAAGAATTTAGACCTTAGTTATAATAACTTAAATGGGCCAATTCCTGGAGACCTTTTATCCCAATCAAATTTGCAGAGTGTGGATTTATCTAATAATTCATTCAGTGGGTCAATACCTGCAAATATGTCTCCAAACTTGGTGAGGCTGAGATTAGGAAACAATCAATTAAATGGGACAATCCCATCTTCATCTTTTGGAAGCCTTCAAACAACACTGACCTATTTGGAGTTGGATAACAATCGTTTGAGTGGACCAATACCTCCAGAATTGAGTTTGTGCAAGAATTTAGCACTGCTGAATCTTGCTAACAACAACCTCACTGGTGGTTTGCCGGTACAGTTGGGTGTTCTGAGCAAACTTCAGGAATTGAAGCTTCAATTCAACAATTTGTTTGGAGAAATCCCAATTCAAATTACCCAATTACAAACATTGCAGAAACTGAATATCAGCTGGAATTCTCTGAACGGTTCAATACCATCATCAATTTCAAGCTTGCAAGCTCTTACCAACTTGGATTTACGATGCAACAATCTCAGCGGTTCAATACCTGTTTCGATTGGAAACTTGAATTCCCTTATAGAACTCCAACTAGGGAACAACCAACTCAATGGGACAATTCTGTTGATGCCACCGAATTTGCAGATTGCTCTAAATTTAAGCAGCAATCTCTTTGAAGGGCCTATACCTGGAACAATATCAAAATTGACCGGATTGGAAGTGTTGGATCTTTCCAACAACAAATTTTCTGGTCAGATTCCAGATTTTCTGGTTAAAATGGCAAGCTTGACACAATTGGTGCTTTCCAACAATCTGCTCTCCGGTGTGATTCCCAAGTTCCCTTCATTCGTTACACTTGATGCAAGTGGAAACAAGGGTCTCATTAACGCTACCAATTCAATCTCTCCCTCATTATCTCCGAAAAAAAGGACAGTTGCCGTGGGAATTGTTGTTGCGGTTGCGGTTGCTAGTGTCTTTGCTGTTGGGATAGTAACAATCATCGCCATGTCGATTTGCAGACGATTTTACAGGATTAATGATGAGCAGATACGATCTCAGGAAGACTTTCCTCAACCCCAAGTCATCAAAGGCAATCTTTTAACAGCAAATGGCATTCACAGATCTAATATCGACTTCAACCAAGCCATGGAAGCAGTGACTGACCCATCAAACATCTTTTTGAAGACTAGGTTCTCGACCTACTACAAAGCCATCATGCCTTCTGGTATAAGCTATTTTGTCAAGAAACTTAATTGGAGCGACAAAATATTCCAATTGGGTAGCCATGAGAAATTCGGGGAAGAATTAGACGTTCTAGGGAAGTTGAACAATTCAAATGTCATGACTCCGCTTGCCTATGTCTTGACAGTCGATAGCGCTTACCTCTTCTATGAATTTGCCCAAAAGGGTACCCTTTTTGATGTCCTGCACGGTAGCTTGGGAGAAGCTTTGGACTGGTCAAGTCGTTACAGTATAGCGATTGGAGTAGCTCAGGGCTTGGCATTTCTACATGGTTACACTTCTGGTCCAGTCCTCCTCCTTGACCTATCAACCAAAAGCATACTATTGAAGTCTCTAAAGGAGCCTCAGGTTGGAGATATTGAGCTTTGTAAGGTGATTGATCCAACAAAAAGCACGGGCAGCCTCTCTGCAGTTGCTGGTTCTGTTGGCTATATACCTCCAGGTGATGCACTCGATAACCCTGTATTAATTACATGACCTCTGATGATGATAATCAGTATCTTAATTTTTTTTCCATGTTTACATGTACTGATATTGTTGCATATGATACTATCGCGCCTTTAATCATAAATACTAATTTGTTTCAGATCAGCAATAACAGCATATACTATTTCCTAGAATGTTAGTTTCATATTCATTCTTTATTTTTAATTTTTTGATTGTGTATTCATTCTTGAGTTTGAACCCAACAAATGTAAAGGAAAAAGATAAGGACCATGAAAAAATGCCAAGAAATTTACCCCAAAAATGAAATATGTGATGTAGATTCAAATTTCTTGTTGTGTAGGCTACCTAGAATGAATGTGGTCCAAACAATATATTTTCTGGATACCGAGCATTGTTGCTTATCAAATATTTTTCGAAACCAGATTTGACATGGCATCGAAATTTTGTTCCTAACCTGTAAAGCTGCTAATGTTGTTGATTCTTTGGGTTTCAGAATATGCTTACACAATGAGGGTGACAATGGCTGGGAATGTATATAGCTTTGGGGTTATTCTGCTGGAATTGGTTACTGGGAAACCTGCAGTGAGCCAGGGAACTGAGTTGGCCAAGTGGGTATTGAGTAACTCGGTGAAGCAAGATAAATTGGATAGCATTCTTGATTTCAGTGTAAGCAGAACATCACTTGCAGTTAGGAACCAGATGCTTGCAGTTCTGAAGGTGGCGATAGCTTGCGTTAGCATTTCACCACAAGCACGGCCCAAATCAAAAAGCATACTGAGAATGCTCCTGAATGCACGATGAATGGGAATCCCAGTTTTGGTCACTCCATACAATTGTGTTAGAGATAAGAGTCAAAGCATCTCTGCCATTTGAAATACGAAGGAAAAGCTCTTTTTTAGAATTCAACCTGCATGTAATATATTAAAGTTATTTTCCATACCAATTTATATGTAATACATGTATACCAGATTTTGAATCAATGTATAAAGATGGTGCTAGAATTGATCTATAACTCCCAAGTTTTATCCTTTTAACCTCTCTTTGCATCAAGCAGATCAAAAGTTGTTTGGATTTGCTTCTGGGGTGTTGTTCTGGTTGATCTTTCATTGCATTATAGAAATATAAACTAGCTCCTGCTTTGCATTTTTGGAACTTCGTTTAGTGAAAAATTCTTGACCAGATTAACTCTGATAATGGCACAAGCTCAAGCAAAAGGTGCCTAATGACATGGGGTTTCAAAACCAGTGGATACTGCTGATTTTAGGCTGGAGGTTCCATAGAACTTCACCCTAATCTGAAGGGTAGTTCTAAGCCTTCATTGCTAAAACTTGTGCCATGGAACACGATGAGAACACATAATAGGTTACTTATGTGATTAAGGAGTAGTACCGGTGTACAAAACAGCCATTCACTGTGGGGTCTAAGAAGAGTTGGATGTATGTAGTCTTACTCTCGACTTGAGTGCAAACATACTGTTCGTCACTGCAGGGTCTAGAAAGTGTTGGATGTATACTGTTTGTGTAATTTAAACTAACTTAACTTGCAATGGAAGAACCTTACTACCCCTCACTAGTGTGACTGACTAAAGAAATCAAATAAAGTGGCAAAATTTTTATTACTCCGGTCAGCAACAGTTTGATGATATGATTCCTTAGGTACCATTTTAAGAAAGAATTCCTGTGTTCAATCATGAAATACTGAGATCTGACAGTAATCCGACAAGAACTGGTATCAATAACAGAAGTGCGTCGCAGAAATCCTAACCAGGGGATTTTGTTGATGCTTGGTGGGATAATTTGCACAATCTTCATTAAGCAAACACAATTTGATGTTGGTAATGATACAAACAACAATCCATGTCAAGCAATTCTTTCTGTGCGTTCCAATAAAATGAATTTTTGGTCAATAAAAATCTCCATTAACGACAAAGAATAATGCTATATGTACTAATTAATGTACTAACTAGTATATTAATACATGATGTGATATAATTTTAGAAGTTTTGAGTATTTGTAATTTGTATAATAGGTGGAGTCAGTAATAATGGCATAAAACTAGTTGGTACATTAATGTGTAAATTAATTGGTGCATGTAACACCACCAACAGAAAAATCCTCAACAAGCTAATGACAATGAGAATTTGAAGGATAAGATGACAATGACTACTTCGAGTTTATGATACTCATTAAGTACAATTCTGAATTGAAACTTACACAAAAGCTAATGAAATGTGAAACATTTACTCTTCAAAATTCTGCTCCTGTTGTCCCTCAGAACCTTGATTGAGCAGAAAGTGAGTTAGTAGCTCCTAAATTTCTCTTCACCACAAACTTACTCCGCCAAAATCGAGGATGATAATAAAAAATGATCAGAGCCAGAGGCACAGACAAGAAGGAAGTAATCTGAGACTGTATGAAGAATTATAGTGTAAGGTCTTTAGGATCCTCAATTATCTTGGCTAGAGTTTGCAAGAATGAAGCCAGATCCGCACCATATATGACACGATGGTCAGCTGTAACATTTACCTGTAGAAATTGCATTTTATAGTATAAGAATTCAATACATTCCTCCTAAAGTTTTTCCAAATAAAATAATGTCCGTGAGACTGTATAACATTTTCTAGGATTTTTTTTGTTTTTTGTTTTTTGACAGATCTGTAGAAAACGTTTTCCTATATTTGATTTCATTGAAACTAATGTACTAGTGATTTGGCGGGGTGGTGGTGTTCCTAGTAGTGGTGGTGGTAGTGGTGTTGGCGTGGTGGAGGTGGAGGTGGTGGTGGTGATGGTGGTGGTGGGCTAATGATAGTGATAGTGTGGTGATATTGGTAAGATTTTAGTTTGGAAAACGTTTTCTAATTTCATTTTTCGCCCAAATAAGCTTATTTACTATTGATCATAGAAAATATTTTCTGTTAACATTATTTTTCGAATGTCCCAAATGCCTGAAAGTGCAAAACAGAGCATAGGAGAAAAATAAAATATATACTATACCTTCATCTGGTTTTTCATGCCAATCCGACCATCCTTGGCACCTACAGTACAACAGTGGGCTGAGATGCTCCAACAGCCATGATTGCACCCTGGATAGGTATGATCAAGCAACATAGTGGTTAAAATTGCAGGTCATACACAACTCTGTAAAAACTATACTAGCCTCAAAACAACATAATCTAGCAGAAGCAATGCCATTTTAATTTAAATTTGGGCACTCAACAGTTCCTGGTGGCAAATGGCATCAAAGCGATCCACACCAAACATTCCAAGATTAGAGAGAGTAAAAGTGCCTGCAACACCACCAAGAAATCATAATAAGAAAACACACAACACAGTTATTTCGTAAGAAAGTTGAGTGAAAAGAAGAGTAATGCTTCTTAGACCCATAATGCCCTCGATGCCACAATGAATCAGCGAAAAAATTATATTCATTGTCTGTCTTGGGATCGATGTTACTTGGGCTGGTTTATTTATGTCACAAGTTCAGCTTCTAGCCAATCAGTTTCTAGTCTAATATCATTTCCTCCATAATTTCAAGGGAAAACTCTATACACCTGTTGTTAAATCGGGATACGAATCGTGTATCGTTATATGATTTTTTTGAATCGCATATCATATCATATCGTGTATCGTAAGATACTTTAATACCTTTAGAAATAGGTAGAAAAATAAATATAGTTATAAAAAACAAATATCTTATGAGAACAAAACACCAAATAATGTATAATTCTGTCAATTGCAAAAGCAAAGTTCCTTAAATTATATACATGTAGCAATCATATTATCTTCACGAGGCATAAATTAATAACGCAAGATTCTTAATACCATACAATAGATATGTCAAAAAGGTTGAGAAATAAATTAAAAAGTACCATTCTTATCTCAAAAATAACTTTTTTTTTTAATAAGTTAATGAAATTTTTTTACAATATTAATTTACATAAAATAATTTGAATTTTTTTCTTTCAAATTTGCTAAAGAAATTTAACTATTTATGTAACATATGAATCGTATTATGTATTGCGTATCGTATCGATTTCCTTGTGAAAGGTGTCGAATCATAAGATACAAATTGTGAATCGTAAGATACTGACAACATTGCTCTATACATACATAAAAATCATACAAAAAATTCACAAGAATGATGTCACAATACCATTATTGTAAATAAATGCATCTTCAACGGTGTTTTGTTTTGAAGTGAATGGTTCATAATGAGCCACATTATTATGTATGAATTTTTTATTTGTACAGCATTACTCAATTTCAAGCATTAGCTCTTAATGGATGTGACTATGAAATATTCTTTTATATCATTATTATTTCAAATTATAAAAGTTCAAGAAATACAAAAATCCTGAAAACACAATTTAGGGAATTGTGGCCCTTGCAGAAACTGAATAGTAGACAAAATGAGACAAGGAAATATATCAGCACCAAAAGGACTTATGATATAAATAGAGATTAATCGGTTTGTGGGGAAAATCCATGAAACAATTAAGAATCAACTACTGTGGAAAATATAAATAAAAAACAGAATATTTATCAATAAATAAATAAATAAATAAATAACAGAGCATATAAAGATATCACTACATACCTGTTCTGTATTCATGGGGTTGCAGCTGCTTGGCTCGGGCCTTATCAACTAACTCCTTCCATTTTCTTGACAAGGAATACATGTCAACCTAGAATAAGAATTGCAACAAGCCCTTTTTCACTATAACAACTCAAATCTAGAAACCCAAAGGGGCAACTAAGAGACTAGATAAGCAATATCAGATTTAAAATTCACCTTATCGGCATCTTGAAGCACAGGCGTACTCAACCATCATCAATTGCCACTGTGACTGCAATGTTGATGCTGTTAGGCAATCTTCACTGTATTTAAAAGATTTAATTCTATTGTGTACATAACAACAAATAGAATTTAAAGAAATAAAGAAAAGGAGAGAATTTGTTTGATTACAAAAATCAAACTTGAAATAAAACAAATAAATATAAACAGATTTTATTTTGTTACAAAAACAAAATTAAAATCTGATTTAAATAAATAAAAAACAACATTGAAAAATAAATTAAATAACTTACTTGATTTAATTTCTTCGAATTATTTTTTTGATCAAGTCCAGTGTTTGACACTGTGTCCTTAAGACAGATTCGTCCTCTCCACGGTGCTTTCAGAATTCGGACGTCTAACTCCCAGGATAAAATGATCTACTACAAACAATAGCAGCACTACAAATTGTTTGCCTTACGAACACACTAAGTGTTTATACTCTCTCTGACAAGAAAATAATGCAGCAAAATGAAGAGGAAGTTTGCAGAATTATGAAGAACGAAAATTAGAGTTACAAAATCCAAATGAGGGTGGTCCTATTTATAGATGTGAAGGTGGCTCTTGGATTTGAATTGAACAGGTATGTGGCTCTTGGTTTTGAATTGAACAGGTATCATACCTGTTGGGTTTTGAATTCAAACAGATTCAACAATTCAAACAGATAGCAATTACGGGAAGGGCCCTGTTTGGGTGTGCACTAATTCCAAAACAGTTTATTTCTGTTTGAAACCGGGAAGGGCCCTGTTTGGATGAACAAATAATCCAAACCAATTTAATTTGAATTATGGATTTTATTTTAATAAAAAATAAAATTAAATTCAAATGTTTTTGGCCCAAAAAGATTAGAAGCCCAATGGGTCCAAACACTTGGGTACCCCTTGGGGCACTCCCCAAGTATCAAACCCAAGCCTTATAAACCCTTTCAAAACTTCCCACCAAATCAATGTGGGACAAGCCAATTTACAACCTTAAAGAATTTCCACCAAAACTCCATTTCCATGGAGCACACTTTGGCTTCAATTTCCCATTCACTCGGTAATGGTTTTGAGCAACCAAATATACCACGTGAATCACAACGCGGCATTGAACGCGTTACCACTTTGACCCGAGTAAATCGACACTCGGGGCCCACCTAAAAAATAGACCGAACTTAGGAAAAAAATTCCGATTTTATCCAGAATTTTATAATCATTTCCAACAGATGCTGCCGTTATATGTAAAGTTCTTACCATATCTACAACTAGAGTTCACAACAGGATGTTTAATGAATGCAAGAGCAGTTGCCTTTGCTAGCAATGCTGCCATTGTCACCCCCTTCAACTTAATCTACAAATTATACAATGCAAATCAATTTTAAAAAATAGATAATACAGCACTAAATAATTATTATAAAGAATTAAAAATATGAATATTAAAAAAAAAAAATTCATCACATGATTTCAGAATCAGAAACATAAAAGCAAAATCGTTGCCTGCAATTTCAATTTTCTTCTGAAAAATTATGTGTAGTCCTGTGGTTTGCCTTATTTGATTAATTTGATCATCGTAATTTTAATTGCATCAATTTTACCATTAAATTTTTCATATTGTGTCACTGGATAACACCCTTTAGAAATTGGATTGAAATTAAGGGACGTAATAGTCTATTAGCTTTCCTCGAAATGATTGAGGGTCAAGGTTCTAAAAAGAGGTTGTGGTCGCTGTAACGGTGACGGTGACGATGGCATTGTTGCGGTTGCGGAGTGTAAAAGCCGTAATGTAACGGTTGTGGTAACTGGAATCGTGAATTTTTTTATTTTTCGCACAATTTAAAAAAAACTTACTGATACGCATATTTTTTTTTCCATAATCATATTTATTGGGTTTTAAAATAAATATTGATCAATTTTTGTAAATTTTTAAGTATGATCCAATAAATTTTATATTTTTAAATCATTATAAACTGAGTTTTTACATTTTATTTTAATAATTAATAACTTTATATGTCATAAATTCATATTACGCTTGTGGCAAAAAAAATTTTTATTGGAGTTAGATGTCCAAAATTATTTTTTTAATTATTATACTTGTAGAAGCATATGCAAATTTTAACTTGAATAGTTTTAAAAAAATAAATTATACATGCTAATGTAATCATATAAAAATAAAAAAATAATAAATTATAAAGATTTTTTTTTTTTAAATATTTCTCATATCATGAAAAATTGTTAATTGACTTAATGTTTTGTTTATTAATAAAATGATTAACTGAAAAATATTTTTCATATCATTATGAAAAATTATTAATTTACTTAATGATTTACTTATGAATAAAATTAATCATTTGTTATGCAAATATGATTTATGTATTAATAAAATTAATTATTTGTATATGTATGTATTTTCTTCTGTTTTTTTATTAGTTCAATGACTTATCTTAATAGTTTTTTTTTTTCTTAAATAAGTGACTTATCTTAGTTTTTATTTTATATTTATCTGTTGAGAAAAACTACACACTATAATTTTGTTTTTTTATAAATTCAGAAAAAATATTATACATCATTGGGTATATAACAAATTAAAAAATGATACATATCATACTGCATAAACTCTATTATATATCTAATGATTTATTCATTTCAATTTCATAAAATAATAGTTGAAATTTTTAAAAAATTATCAAAATATAAAATTTAAACATATTGTAATAATAACACATGCCTTGCACCGGCATGTGTATATACAAAACGTTCCCAAACCAACCTTAATGTGTGTTTTGTGCATGAATACATTTTTGCGCTTTAGTTGCTAAAACAATCCCATACAGTTTGTTGAAACATGAAAGAAAACTCTTTTTTTTTTTTTTTTAGTCCCCTAATTTGCTCAGGGTTTTCTTGCTTAGAGTTTTCAATAAGCTTGGATTTTTTATTTTGTCAAATTTGATCCAACTTTTTTAAAAACTAACAAAAGCTTTTAGATTAGAAGCCCCCAACATTTTAAAAACAAAATTGAATAATAAAACAAAAATCAATAAAGACAAACTCAAAAGCATGATGGCCTAAGAAGCAATGTGCAGTTGCAATGGTGAGTTACAAAATCATAAGCTAAGCTTTTGATAAAAATTAATGCATCAAAGCAAAATTGGTAATTTCTAATCATGTAAATCAACAGTACTTCAGAATTGTGATATTAACCACAAATTTCATCATTCACATTTCGACTAATGAGAAGAAAAAAAAGAAAGAAAGAAGAAAAGCCATCTCAAATTAGGGCTGTAATGAAAAAAGTTGGGACACTGGTGGCTGCATCGAGAAACCAAATATATGAGCCTTCACGCGGAAAAAGCACGGAGGGAAAGTGTATCTGAGAAACTGGCTAATGTCAAGCAACAACCACCTCAGTCTTGACTTATGCGGACACACGCCGTGGTTATTCGATGATAGTGATGCAGAAATTTGCATTTCAAGAATAATGGCCTTTTAAGTAACACAGAGAGAGAAGTGGGTGTTTTCTCGAACACGTCGAAACAGGCGGATGTCTCAACTACCTTACCGGTGGTGAATGTGATGGTCACTTTTTCTTGTTATTCGTGTTCTTTTCTACACTTTTTGTTTTTAATTGTTTTCTTGTTTAATTGATTAGCGATGTAAATGGGATATTTTTTTAAAGGTCAGTTATTAAAATTTTATAGTATAAAAAATATTTAATATTTTTATAATGTTTAAAATCTTTTAATATCAATTTAAAAAAATTCGGTATAGATAATTTTTTTGGACATATTACAGAGAAAATTTCGAATTTCTCTGGATAAATCACAGAGAAAATTCTAAATTTTTCTGGATATATCATAGAGAAAATTGAAATTTCACTAAATTCAAACTCTTTTAAGATATATTACAAACAAGTTAGAATCCTTCAAACCCTAAACATCTATAATCTCATGATGAGCTTAAAATTTATTCAAAACCAAATCATTGCACATCATGGTTGCTGAGCATTGAAACAAAGAAATATACACAAGCAAACTATAGGTTTCCAAACTAGAGAATTTCTTTGGTCCAAACCAGAGAAATTCAATCGAAATTCAATCCACACCAGAAAAAATTCGACTTGATAGAGAAAATCTTACCAAAATTTCTCTAGACTCACTTCAATCTAAAGAAAATTCTCTCAGTCCAGAGAAATTCACTTCAACCCCAGAGAAATTCACAAAAACCCCAGAGAAAATTTCTCTGGATTTTTGTAAAACTTTTTAGTTCATAAATTTGTGAGTCATTTGATTAATGGCAAATATTGTAGTGAGTAATTCCAGTCTTGTTTAGATTTGATTTTTGGTTTGTTTTAACTTATTAACAATTGTTAGAATAAATTTATACGATGATTGGTTTTTTAAAGATGTATTCGAGAATTTCTCTGGATTTCATAAAATAATATGTCTTTACGATCCAGAGAAAACTAGTTAAAATGAACCCAGAGAATTTTGAATTTGAATTTGAACCCAGAGAAAATTGGTCAAAATGAGCCTAGTGAAATTTAAATTTTCTCTGAGTTGAACCCAGAGAAATTCTTTGTAAAGTCCAGAATTTCTCTGGAGAGAATTTCTCTCAAATTTCCAAAAGCTCAACACACAAGAATTCAATAACAAAAACACTAAAATCAAACTACATTCCCTCACAAATGACTTCAATTTCAGTTTTTTTATTTTTTATTTTTTTATTATCCACAAAAAAGGAAAAAAAAAATTAAAAACCCAATGAGCATATAAATATATGTACAACAAAAAGCACTATGACCTATGTTGTGTAGTTCTGATCAAAATTGCAATGGCGAAACTAAGGCAACAAAACTCAAGAAATTAACCAACTTGGAAATTCTACCTGCTTCAAAAAAAAAAAAAAAAAATAGTCAAGAACGTTGCAGTAGCTCCAAAACAATTATTTTCATATACCCAAAAGAGTAACAACAAAGTACTCAGCACTTATGCGACGATGAATCCATGGTTGAACACTTCATTATTGTTGATAATTCGACTTTAAAACCCAAAAAGA